AGGTTAGGTGTGTTGCCCTTGGTTCCCCCCCCACCGAAGTCCGTGTTTCAAATATGTCCATCCTTCGGATAGTGCGCATTGCCCTCCTTGTGTATACAAATCGCATTTTTAAATGAGAATAGCCTTGTAATCTGAGTCATTAAATCTCATTTTTGCGCAAAGTATTTGCTCATCTGAGCTCCTTCTTGTTTCCCATAATGCTCAGTGGGTTTGGTTTTAATAACTTGGACTTACCTGGAATTTTCACTTCGTACTGCTTTGCTACATGGGTAAATATTTAGGAGAGAGATCTGCCTAATCTAGTGGGTTCCAGCTAATGGGCACAAAGCTGGCATGAAGCCCTATTTGCAGCACTACCTCTAGCTGTACCTGCCAGCCACGCTGGGCACGCCATGTTTCGTGGGGCCACCTTTAAAGGCAGGGCTACCACATAAAAGACAGCAAAGGATAAGATTCTCTATACCACAGACCTCAAATTTATAAATGTCAAGTATATGATTCCCTCAACATTCTCATCTTCAAAAGGCAGATGATAATGCTTCTCATATAGTGTCATGGGTATTAAATGACAGCACGTATGTAAATGAGCAGTGTAGTCCTGCATCCAAGAGCATGAGCGTGAGACCAACCTGGTTTGAATCCGCACTCAGCCACGTGCTAGCTCTGTGAACAAGCCAGTGTTTCCCTCTCCCTGACCCTTATTTCATCATTGATAAAATGGGGGCGATAATGCCAATATTATCATAAGCTATTTGAGAATTAAATGTGCAGAGGTCACTTAATTAATTTATCATCCAAAGAGGACACTTTGGGTTGTAGAAGGGAGTACTGTTTATGTTTATGATGGAAAACTAGGGGTAAGTGGATTGCCTCAGGCTTCAACTGGGTTGTACAGTTATTCTACTTAAATGAGATGTAAGTTTTGGGACATTTTGGCTGAGAGTACATGGACAATGAAGACAGTTGGCAAAAAATAAACCTCTTGGAGATGTTAGCGCTGTGGGTGCTTTAGGTGAGCTTGTTTTCTGACTGGCTCCTACACACAGCCTCACAGCATGCAATTACAACACTGAAGGAAGACCTGGCTCACCCGTAAACAGCAGCAGCACCCAGTGGAAAAATCAAGAATGGGAAGGTAAGGACAGCAGTGTTTCCCAGGTTGTGTTTCAAGAAACTCATAGGGGGTAATTGAATTAAAATGTCCTGTGATCAGTGAGTTTGGAAAATACTATGTATTTATTCTGTTTTAAATAACATAGATGTACATCAAAGTTTTGAAAACTAAGTAACCCCAAAATAAAGAAACCCATAAAGGTTGAGAAACAATGGCTTACATTTTATGTACATG